TCCCAGTGCAGCAAATGTATTCGGAAGTTTTCCTAATGATGTCCTTCGAACCTATCCTGCCATGTTTTGTCCTCGTATGTATTTTCACAAACTCCAGTGTTGCAAATGCTGAGCTGCTACCTTAAGTGGATTGCCGGGACGCAGAAGCGATACTTTTCCATCTTGACACAAGGAATGGACGTTCTTATTCTTTTCTCTTCCTCAACAATTTCACCATGTCCAGTCTGCCACCGTCAGACATGCATATTGAAGATGGAGTCCCACCATTCTGTATCTCTAACATTATGTCACTTTTCCCCCCCTCTCTTTTTCATTGATCAGGGTTACTTCACTGTATCTAACCTCCTCCCAGTGCGCATATGAATTGGAAGGCTTCCTGACTTAGTTCTAACACTATCGTTCCACACTTCGTCTTCATGAGTTATTCACAACTTCCAGGTGCATGCAGATCTGCACATGAAGGTGGAGTGAACCTTTCCCATCTTGACCAATGAGTCGAGTCTCTTCTCTTCTATCAAATATTTCACGTGTCTATTCTGCCACCTCTGACATGCATATTGAAGAGGAGTCAAACCTTTCCTACCTCTACACTTGGGTCCCAGCCTCTTTCAGTTTATTCATTTGACTTCACTTTATCTAACCTCCTTCCCACTTTCAGCAGATGAAGAGGTTGCTCCCATACTAGTCCCCTACACTCTGTGTGCAGGTTTCTTTTCTTGTCTCACTAAATCCTACAAAATGTCTCTAAATGACCAAGTGCAGAGCAAAGTTAAGGGGATGATTGTTTCCTTCATCTTCACAAGATGTTGGATCACATTCTTTTCCTCAACAGGTAACTTCACTTGAACAAGATCACCATTTCTAACTACTTCTACTGGCTGTATAGAGCAGATAAACCCTTGAAAATGTGTAGATAGCATAAGCATTACGTGTGAGAAGCACTAATTGCAAACTCCTCTCGCGCACTAGCACCGCAGTGTCAGTTGATTTGTTTAATTTTAACATAGTATAAAGTCCACATTCATGCGACTAGGGAGGCCGTCCTTATTCGCCAAATTTAATGTGGCAGCAGCCATGTATGAATCATTCTGAGTGCAACGACCATAATAGTAAAGTATCTCATGAATGATTAGTGGGGGTTCCGGTGTAGACACTCTATGTTTTAGGGATGGTACAGGTTTAATCTCACGTGATCTGCTGACGAAAAGCCTCAATCTCGGCGCGAATGTACTCTCTAGCACTAGCCAAGAGTATGTGGTCCATATCTAGCATTTATACGTGCACCTCATTCTCCACTCTAGAGTTCGGTCATAACGCATTCACATTTTATCGTGTTAATGGCAGTCGTGTTCATAAACCGTCGTGTGAGTATCCCTTACGAAGGGCCTTGTGCTAGAGCCTGGGTACCATTAGAGTGACATCCTCTCCTGAATTGACATAAGTGTGCACGGCCACCATGATTGTTTCTTACTTGTGCGCCAGTCACCTTTGATCGATCGATGGACCTCTTCCTGTAGCCAATGAATGATGCAATTTGTTGCTACTCAGCATGAGCGCATGCGCTAACAGCAGTGCTTGGAGATAGAAACCGTTGTGGACTAAATGGTGTCGGTTGTTATAGTTAATTCATTGGAGCTATCGCATCCACACCCGTTGGCTACATTTGCTTCTATAATGCAGCTTTGGCCCTTCTTAGTCATAAAAGCACTTTCTCATCTATTCTACCCATTACCCAGGTCCCTTCCTGCTTTCTAGGATCATGGGCCGCATGGCCGCCTACGTTTGTAAGCTCCGTGGGGGGGGCATTGTCCTGATGGGTGCAGTGCCCATGCACCCGTTGCCCAGCTGTGGTTGACAGACTTTGCGTCACGTCTCAGTCGCGTCTCAGTCCGTCGTGGCTTCTGTACTAAGTACTAAAGTAAGTTATCGACGCAGACTGGTCCTATACACTGTGGGATTCAGAACCTGCATTTCGGCTGTTGGTTTGCAACATTTGGGCGACAGTCTTTTTGCTGTCTGCTGCCCATACGTACACCACATCTACAAGAGTCAAGGATACTACGTCTCATCTATTGACCTTGGCCTCCGTCTTTGTGCCCCAGCTTTTCCCATAAACTCCATGAGTACAAAAGATGCCTGCTTTCCCAATTAATGTCATTACAAAATTTATGCTAGGTGTCTTCGTGCCATGCCGTAGTGCTTTCACTTTTGACAGGCAGATGTCAACAAGTTGGAATTTTTCCAGATGAAATCTCTCTAAAACCATACCCATGTGTGTATTAGAGTGACCATAACACGAAAAAAAGCACTAAAGTGCAAAACCCTTCGGGCCGCACTAGAAACGTGCGCGTGTCATTGCAACCCCCATATGCAATTCGTGGGTCAGTACGACCGCGTGTCCGTGACAGGCTATGTAGGTAGACAGCTATTTATACGGGACTTTATTCTCCCTCTCCGCCCCTCTGTCGTAACTTTTTTGATGGCTTCACAGGCCAACTCCGGCGGAATCTAAGTCGAAGTGTAGCCACGTGTATTTGCATATTGGCTTTCCTTGGTTCTCATGCCATAAACTTTTGAACACAGTAATTTTCGCTAGTGTTAAAAAAACCAAGCCCATGTAGCGCCCGTAACTGTTGGCATTGCTTTTTGGATGTTTCGTCGTTGCGCCTATGCATATATGTGGTAACAAACACATCAGACTCTCCACAGACCACTCAGTGGTCAACACCCCTCGTTGGCATGCCGCAACCGACACAAATCCCAATAAAATCCCCAGCAAAACTATACACAACACTTTCGTTTTACCTAACCATACCTGACGTCCTTCCTTCCCTTGTCGTTGAGGGGAGTGGTCCCGCCTGCTCCCTAACAGCTAGTCCTTCCTTGTCTCTTTCCATCAGTAAACTGATCACATTCGATGTGGCCGCCTCGCGTGCGCGTCTCCGAGCGGCGGTGCGACTTCAGACTCGACGTCGCCTGGCGAACACGTGTCCGCATTCTTTCTCTTTCCCGAGACCAGGTCACGACACGCGGCCACGTTCACCATGACGCACCGTGCCTGTACTGAGTCAGCAGGGTCCCAAGACAGACCGTCGCTGCAGCACGTCGTCCACGCCTGGATGTGTCGGAGAACCGTCTCGCTCTAGCCTTTCCATCCACAGCTCGTCTCTGCATCGTTTGTTTACAGCTTAGCTGACACAGCACACAAAACGACGCCTCCCCCACTTGCGCATCTGCGCATAGTGAATGCAGGCGTCGACGACTACCGTCGTGGCCGAGGGTACGTGTTGACCAGCTGATGTTCTCTCACTTGCTCTCTTGAATAAGGACAGTACTTTAAAGATATCATGCTTAATTTTATGGTGATAGACATGGTGAGGGAAGATCGATCGTATTCTAACCCAGCGAATCTCAGTACGGTAGCGTGCATGGTCTATGGGTTGTATTCCATTGAAGCCCGACATTCGTTTCCTTTGCTCAGGTCTTACTAGCGCAGCCCGTGTGCACGAGCAGGCAAGGTAAACGCAGTCTCTCTGTATAATGACGACTTCGGTACAGTATTATTTGCCATGTTCTCACTACGAGTTTTTCTAGCTAAATTCTTCTGGCTGGGTATTCACACACACACCTTCTCCCGTTTCTCCAGCTCCCCTCCTTGTCGCGTCAGCTTTGTGGAGATGACGCGGGCGAGAGTGGAGGGGCTCTGGAGTCGTCCCCAAGCTGATAGGCTCGGGGAAGCAAGCACACGTTTTGGAGCGGAAGAGTGTCCGCTTACGTCTACCAGCCTCTGTAGAACTGTACATGTTGCTGGTGACCACCAAGACTCCAACATCCTGGAGGACCTAGAACACTTGCGTCTCTTCTCGTATAGTGGGTTTGCGTCTCTTATTATTATTGTTTGCTCCTTCCCTCCAGTACTGTCCTAATGTCTCTAGAGTGGTCATCTCTCCTCTCTGTTTGGTCTTTCCCAGTACTTTTCCTTATGTCTCTAGAGTGTCCGTCTTTCTTCTCTGAATCTGTTTTTGGCTCCTTCCCCATTTTGTATTCTCCAATGTCTCTAGAGTGGTTCCGTCTCTCTCTCTGACACTGTTTGCTTGCTCCTTCCCCCATGTACTCCCAATTCATTTTATCATACAATTTGTCCTCCGCGACTAGCTAGCTTCTTATCTCTCTTCTATCGTCTCCCTTTTTCCTTCATTGTAGTTATCGGTGTATTGTTCGCCTTTATTTTCGCTTTCTTCCCCATATCTCACCTTAGAATACGATGTGCCATCCCTATCGCTTGCCTCTATTCCTTCCCTATCTCACTTCTTACTCTTTACCTCTACTCCTCTCATTGCTATTTTCACCACATGTTCAACAAATTGTGTCCTTGCTGTAATGATTATTCCAACCCACTTCCATATTCTACCCAAAACAGATTCCATTTCTGTATCCTACCATATCCTTCTCTTTATCTACTACATTGCTCCCCCCATACCTCCACCCCTCCTCCCCTCCTCCCTCCTCCCCTCACCTTCTCCCTCCACCTCCTCCTCTCTCCCCCCTCCTCCTCACATCCTCCTCTCCTCTCTCCTCCCTCTCCTCTCTTCCTCCTCTTCCCCCATCCCAAATCTGCCAGAGAATAGTACGACAGTATGTTTTGACAATGCCTTTGACCTCATCGTTTGCCTGTGATGAGCTCGTTGCCCGGGGATACCGAGAGAATGTGAACCTGGCTGTACGGACCTTCACGAGAGATGGACAGTCACGTAGGAGAAGGTCTCTGAGGCCATGGGAAGTAGGAAGATCGTGGAGACGTAGGGAGGGCGATGAAGTTTTGAAAAGAGGGAGGGCCTCTGTGCGAGGGAAGGACGAAACACGAAACTATGTACTAGTATATTCTATGATATCTATATATATATCTGCTATAGTTTTTTCCCTAAACGCATGGCTGTCACAATACAACGTCAGTAGGGTGTGCTTGTTCGTCTGAGCATTCGGCCGGGTACTCTGCCCATGCTGTCTGTGTGCGCATGCACAAGATATCACAAAATCCTTAGAATGTGATGACTGCGTAAAAGCTAAGATCGAAGGTTGCCAAGACACATCCGCTGGCATACATTTTCAACTACATACACGGTCGCCAGCTAGACAGGGCGTGTAGTGGAGGCATCTCTATACCTCTCACCCACGTCATCTCATAGTGTTATTGTTGTGGTGAGTGCGTGTTGTACACAGCATCACTCCTCTGTATGCAGGGGTGTTGTACATATACAACACAGACAGCAACACAGAGAGGTGGGCCACCAGTCCCAGTATCACTTGACACATACACACAGAGTCTCTCTTTATCATATTAGAGCACAATACATACACACATATGTACTACGTGTGTTATCACTCAGTAACTCGGTGTAGTGAGAAAACCATTAGTTGACTAGGTAGCGACTGTAATACTTGCTTGTTGATTAAAAGACAAGTATGAGTAGGTCCTTCCTAATACAACTATACCATCGTGTTAAGTCTCCCCCCTCTCTCTACCTCTGGCAACAGTCCGGAGAAGGATGGCTAGGGATGAGATGACGAGGAGGCCAGGAGCTCAGATGGCCAGAGAAAGCGCCACCAAGAGAGAGGCATGGGGACACGGCTAACAACGGTGGAGGCAGGGTTTGGTTCTGCTGACTACAACCCGGGCCCTCTGTGGACATGTCAGCCTCTCACCAGTCCAGCAAACCTGCATATAACCCTCCCAGGTATTGTCCTCCATACTTATTCGCATGATAGTTTGGATGTTTGGGAGAAGGTTGGTTGATCCAAAATTTATACTAATTTGTCATTTATACTTACTTTACAAAACCCATTCCCGCACCCACCCCTGAAATTTCTGATTTACAGTGAAAACTCTTGCTTTGCGGATGTTGGAAGTGTTTTAGGTGTCCCTATTCCAGAGGTATAACTTAATGCACTAGTGTGCATTGTTGTAGGGAGGAACCAGTGTCCTGTAGTTGGAGGGTCCTTTTTCAGAGGCTCCACTCTATTCTGTTGGTGCAGTTGGTACAATCAAGCTAAATATGCACACCCGGTGTTTCTACTTACAGACTATAGAATCATTTTCTGCTGGTGTCAGGGTGTCATCATTGTAGTTGTCTGTTGCCCCAGTCGTCCGCAGAGGGCTGGAGGAGGGAGTGCTCTCAAGCTGAAGAAGAAGGACAAGGACGTGGACATGTTTGTGGACAAGTTGGTGCAGGAGGGGAGAGGGTGACCAGTGTTACTGCCCCGCGACAGCCCTCCATGACTGCCAAGACCACCACCTCCACTCTGCATGCCAGGTGGACCCTCCTTCCCTTACCCTATCTCTCTCTTACTTCACTCTTCTTCTTCCTACTGTATTTAGTCTCTATGTGTGACCCGCTTTAGGAAAGTTGTTTTTTTGTGCATATAGAACTTGAACAGAAGCAGCTACAGAGGTGTGGTTATCATTGTTGTATTCATCGTGCATTGCACATTTGAACGTTAATTTGCGTAACTTGAATTTTTGAGCCGAAATGTACGTACTTTTTCCCGTAGTGGGTCACATATATAATCTTGCTCAAACTTTTCATCTTTCCTTGCTCTAAACCTACATCTCCCTCCTTCCTTGTGTGTGTGTCAGTGTCCATCTGAAGGTGACAGAGAGACTGAGTCTGGTGGCTGGGAGGGAGGGAGGACTCCAGTCCATGGAGATACTGGGGATGATCATGCTGAGCATCACAGACCAGGAATTCAGCAAAATCAGAGTTCTGATGGATAACAAGGACCAGAGAGGGCTACAGTTTCAGGTATATATCTACTACCTCTTCTTCAATCTCCCACTCCTCCTAGATGTTCGAATTAAAAAAGTGTGGAATATAGGGATGGCATAAAAAGCAAGGAGACAAGACAGGGATGACTTAGTGTATTAGTACAATGGGATGATGGTTACATCTTCAAATTGACATTTCTTGCTCGTGTAAATTTTCCTCCACACAAGCCCTATACTACATTTTACCTCTAGCTCCATGCCTATCTATGGAGGACTACAGTTGCACAGGATGATAGTGTGAATGCTGCAACCATTGAAATCATTGTGCAGCCATAAGATAACACACCCATGCACATCACTTTACCTTGCACTGTAAATCATAAACTCAAAATAGCTGTACCTGTAGTTCGTGCTGATGCAGTGCGGACGAATTTGAATCGCACAGAATTGCCAATAATTATAACACATGTGCATACTGGACACCTAATAGTTACTTTATGCTGGAGTTTATGTTTTGAAGGTCAGGTTTGGCTGGAGGTGTTTGTATGTACATGGGGAGTAAGGTGAAGTTATATTTACCGCGATGTACGCCTGTCTCCCACAGACCCATCCCAATGTGGACAAGTCCCTGTGGAACAGTGAGGGCCTACTGGGACTCAAGCAGCCCAACAAACCCTTCCCTCTGAAACAGGAGGTCGGAGTCCTGAAATGGAGGATGCAGACTGCGGACGAGTCTCTCATGCCCCTCTCTGGTTAGTACGCACTCTGGCGTCGAAACAGGTTTACTGAATCTCGTAGTTTACTGAATCTTGTAATTTACTGAATCTCGTAGTTCACTGAATCTCGTAGTTTACTGAATCTTGTAGTTTACTGAATCTCGTAGTTTAATGAATCTTGTAGTTTAATGAATCTCGTAGTTTACTGAATCTTGTAGTTTAATGAATCTCGTAGTTTAATGAATCTCGTAGTTTAATGAATCTTGTAGTTTAATGAATCTCGTAGTTTAATGAATCTTGTAGTTTAATGAATCTCGTAGTTTAATGAATCTCGTAGTTTACTGAATCTCGTAGTACGTAACTCAGCATGATAGAGCCCACTAATCCAGTGGGGATGTGGGCAGTAAGCCTCAGGTCTGAATTGTCATGGATCACAGAGTAGATATAAACCCGAACACACACGATTGTTGCATCTCTATAGTCAGTTACACCTTACTACACATCTGTACAGTGAGGCATATTGCAACAAGATGGGATATGTGAGGTAAGACTGGTACCATGCCAACCATGTGATAGTGGGCCTCAGTTGGCTAGCAACGCATGTAGCAGTCAGACATTCCTTCCTGATTACAAACGTGCAGCACCAACAATAAACAAACGCACAACGTAAGCGACACTTGAAGCAATGTACACAGAAAGTTCAAAACATCATAACACTGACAGTAGCATCGTTTATCGTGCTGTGACGATGTAGTTTATTGAGTTTAACATCGGATGTTGACAGTCTAGTGAAATAAGACACATACGCTAATCCAACACGCCACCTCTTAATCGACAGTGTTGGTGTAAACATGCGGTGTTTTGAGGCTCTAGATCGCTGCGTGTGTTGCTTCAGATGTTGACAGTCTGGAGAATCCATTACCCTTCGATACATCTCCCACCTTGTGCCGCTGCTAACGAGGTTCCCACCTATGACCTCAGTACACACTGCCAACCACTAAGTGCCCTCCGGTATGCTAATTGGCTCAGTTATCGGCCCATCCTGTCCAATTAGTCCCGGGTGGCTCGCGTGAGACTCTGAGTGCCTCATTTAACTCTCCCAGCTGCCTCGCATTCCTGCCCTTTATACCGCAATCATCACCCACTGGATTATTTGCATACAACTGCATTGATCTCTGCACCATAATGCAGGCTCAATCCCAGAATATAAAGTTAGCCTGTATAAACTACTGTGCCATAATAATATAGACTGAGACTCTGTAACGTATGTACTACTGTGCCATCTGTGTATAACGTACATAGTGTGTGTGTGTATCGTGCTCTAATATGATATAATACGTTGTAGCCGTGTCCCCTGCCTCCTCTCTTGGTGGCCTCTTTCTTGGCCATCTGGAGCTCCTTGGCTCTCCTCTTCATCTCATCCCTAGCCTCCTTCTCCTGGGACTGTGGCCAGAGGTAGAGAGGGAGGGGGGACACTTAACACATGGTATAGTTCATACAGTGTATTGAAGGACCTACTCCATACTTTATTTTAATCAACAAGCAAGTATTTCAGTCGCTGCCTAGTCAACTAAGGGCTTTCTCACTACTCCATACTTAGTGATACCACACGTAGTACATATGTGTACATGTATGTATCGTGCTCTAATGTGATAAAGAGAGACTCTGTGTGTATGTGTTCACTGTGTATACTGGGTGACTGGGTGCCCACCTCTCTGTGTTTGCTGTCTGTGTTTATTTACATACACCCCTGCATACAGAGATGCCTGTGTACAACACGCACTCCACCACAACAATAACACTACGAGATGAGTGGGTGAGAGGTATAAAATGCTCCTGTACACGCCCTGTCTAGCTGGCTACGTATATATACACGTTAGTTCAAAATGTATGGCCACGGATTTTCTCATGCAAACCTTCGATCTTCACTTTTACGCAATCAATGCACAAATTTTGTGATATCCGCACATGCGCAACAGACGAAAGGGGCAGTACCCCGCAGAATGCTCAACGAACCAGTTGTTGAGGTGCGTGTAGTACTGAGTACAATTCGAGGTTTGCCCTCAGATATTGACGATCCGAGCATTTGCACAAGAAATCCGCGGATGGTCTGAATCCGTACTTTACTCATAACATGTGTTCCTTGCTCTGAGAGAGGAAGGGAGTGGAGATTGAGTGCGTCATGTGATAGTGTTCTCAGTTGTGGTGTTGGACTGTGTGTTATGAGCACCCACGAGATCTAATCAACCTTTCGATGAACGCTCTTGCCTTCTTCTCTTCATTTCTCCCACTATTTCTGGTGCTCACAGTGTGTTTTGATCCCTTCAATCATCCTCCCCTCTCTCTCTCTCTCTCCTTCCCTCTCTCCCCCCTCTCTCCCTCCCTCTCCCTCCCTCTCTCCCTCCCTCCTTCCCTTCTGCCTTGCTCTCTCCACCAGTCAACTGTTGGCCATCGGAGAATGCAGGGAAATGTGAGGTGAACATAGAGTACGAACTGCTGCAGTCAGAGTTGGAGCTAACTGATGTCATCATCTCCATCCCTTGCCCGTGAGTCACAGACTCTTTGTTCCATGCGGTAACATCCGTTTGTAACGTTAGCTAATGACTTGCCCTGTGTGTTGGGACTTCACTGGTGGTACTTTCGGGTTTCAAATCCACAAGTGCCCTCTCAACTACAGTACTGTTAGACACACTCACAGCGTACAGCTAAACTGGAACGAATGCAACGAGTCAACGTGTGAGTTACTGCAAATGATGGATGCAACGATTGTGACATTTCAATTACCTACTACATGGGTGTATTTAGAATCACGTGTAGGACATTGGTGGTAAGGGTGGCAACGTTGGTTACAACATACAAATATATAGAAACGTGTGCAGACTAGTATGTAGGCTCGTTTTGCTCACCAATTACCAGTCACTGACTGAGGGGGAAAGTCAGTTTTTAGTGCAGCAGGGGAGGTAATATACGAGGTAGGTAGGTAGGTGGCGAGGCGTGGTATGTAGCTTGCTGGGAGGGCCTGAGAAAGGGACTAATATAGCCGCTGAATAGTGAGACACTTGCTCTAATTTACCCTCCGGGCTGCCAACTCGTGGTTCTAATCTCCAGTGTTTTCTTCTGATCGTGCGTCCTTCACACAACTGGTCGAGAATCACAGCTCCATATATAACCCAGTGCCCGGTCCATACTATATACCCAGTCTGCAGTAACGTGGGCCCCATGTGTTTGTGAGGAGCAGTTGGTACATACTGAATGTGTGTGTCACGAAGCTCACACTCTGTTGTTACGTCTGATGGAAATCAATTTGGCGGCTTTATCGAATCAATGGGGCAGCTGCTTCCATAATTGCGTCCCACTTTTGGAGGAATTACCACCAATTAGGCATCGTTAGGAGGAGTATGAGGGAAATTGTGTCCAGAAGTCGTGATTTGTGTGGTTGCATCACTTGCCACACACACAGGCACCAGCCGTGCCCAAATCTAGCTTCTGCCATCTTCTGCCTTTTAAACACGCAAATCGAGGCAGACATTGTCTGTATATACTTTATTTGCATTCGGAATATATTTACTTCCGTGTCCCTAAGACTTTTCTACATCATCCGCATTAGAACCCACCTCTCATTGTGCTGGGAAAAGAGGCCCAGGCACATGCAATAGCAAACAGTGAATGGAGCTAGGAGTATAATGGATTCCCCAACACAAAAGGACGGAAAGTTAAGATAAGGTCTGGTTTTCGTAGCTGATGGACGCTTGCCCTCCTTGACTGTCCTTGTTCCAGCTGCATTATATCTTGGCTAATCTGGGAGCAATCTGAATCGGCTGCCTTTCTCTGTTAGGTAGTTTACATATAGAGCTGATGAATATACCAGACCATGTAAACACAGGTGTATTACTGGCTCACCTCTCAGCTGGTGTATTATTGTTAGCTGGCAACTCAACTTTTTGCTGGTATGTAATTGTCAGCTGCTTATGCTAACCTTTCAAGTTTCTAAGACGTGTGACTAGAGTGGGTTTGTGTTGACTGCATTTCGCAGAACCGAGCAAAAGTCTACAGCCCAATGTTTGGGGATATTAGAACAACGGTCAAAGGACTAGGATCTCTGCTTTTGTCGAACCATCTCCGCTACTGCTCTGTTTTGCCGTGAAATCAGGTGGCAAACTTGGCTTGTTGTTACTTGTTGTTATTTGACCGTCAGCTGGTGTCTGGACCGACACTCCTGCTATTACGGGCACATGACGCGTAAAAGCTTCCAAATTCTGTTTGTTAGTGGCAGAGGTTAGCCATTGCAGGCTAATAAGGCATTTTAGTGAGGATTTGGGTGGAACAATTGAGTGGTTGGAGTCTTTTAGCATGAGAAATAGCTGGCTAAATATGGCTGGGCCCCCGCTGTACTCTGGTCTGTTTGTGTGTGAGAGTAAGTCTTCTGTTGGCCTTCCTCTGCCCTTGCTCTCCCCACCTGTTTGACCCGTGCAGATGGTGTGTGTTTTCTCTGACGTCTCTGTCTCTCTGCCCTTTCACGGCCAGCCACGCAAGGTTTGCCTCAACCGGTCCTTCTCCGTCCCCCGGAATGCATCCTTGTTTAGCCCTTGTTTATCAACATCACCACGGCGACCGCTCGGAATGAGGCATGCCAATTACTTAGCAGAAGACCCGCCGGTTCAAAACATCGTTAGTGCATAGGAATGTTCCCAGCAGCCACCAAGTGTCCCTCTCTCAATTTAGACGCTCCATCCTTAGCGTTGTTTACCTGCCAGCGGATTAGAGCCACTGCATTCGAGTGGCGTCCTGTACTAGCTGGTGTTCCTCGAGACCCAACACTGCCCTTGTGGCAGATGCTGGGGAATGGTGGCAGGCCATCAGCATTGGTCATCATAACGGTCTTCAAATTCCGTCCGACATTTGAGTGGTGTTCCCCAAGCACGGAGTCGAGTCCTCGTCAACAGATTTGCGGTGCACTCTGCGGAGCTCTCGGCACATTCGGGACTTCTCACACGCACGCAAGCATTCTGGGATTTTCTGATTGGTGGTTGCTAGGTTACTGCCTCTCTCCGAGGTGTCTATTGTTGGACATGCGATTATGCTCTGTGACTGAGTGATGGGATTGTGTTCGTACAATATGTGTGTGTATGTATCTGGGAGAGTGTTTGGTTGCTGCGTTTGCTATTATTGTCCGAAGCTCATTGCGAGTAAACAAATGAAGAGTTGGACTTTTTGGATCTACCTGTGTTTCAACGTGCATTAACTACACAATCGATATTACATCAAGTCTAACTTGATGTGCTCATTTTTATCTGTTCACATTCATTTCCTTTATGAGCATTTATCATGAACAACTACATACCTCTTAGTAAGAAATTACCATCTTTTTGGAGTGTAGCTAAGAAATTACCATCCTTTTGGAGTGTAGCTAAGAAATTTCCATCTTTTTGGAGTGTAGCTAAGAAATTACCATCTTTTTGGAGTGTAGCTAAAAAATTACCATCCTTTTGGAGTGTAGCTAAGAAATTACCATCTTTTTGGAGTGTAGCTAAGAAATTACCATCCTTTTGGAGTGTAGCTAAGAAATTACCATCCTTTTGGAGTGTAGCTAAGTTTTTTTCCTACTGCCCCGATGTGTATGTACAGCTCTGGGCCGAGTGGTGTAATAAGAGAAGGTGGCATGTTAAGGAGCTTTGTCTGTGCATCGTACTGGGTTCTCCCTACCTGTTACTGCTGTGCTGGTTAATGGGCAGTTGATGACTGAGGGAGGGGAGCAGAGAGGAGGGAGGGAGGAAAGAGTGGAGGCAAAGTAGGGTGGGAGAGGGAAGAGCAGGGTGTGATGAGAGTGTGTGCCCCTGTTTGCTTTCATCTGTACTCCACGTCCATTGTGTACGTACACATTAGCTCAACTCACGAGTGAGAGCCGCCTGTTTGCTTGTCTGCGTGTGTGCAGTTGTGTGACTCAGTACAGTGAGATATGTACTGATGAGTAACTTGAGATCGCCAGGGCACACAACTTAGAGTAGCCATTACATCGTTGAGGAACCTCGGCAATTGCCGGCGGTTTGAAAATTCCGCGGTTCGTTGCCCGCCCGCTCTTTGTCTCCCTCGAAACGAGCGTGTTTTCGAGTGCCGGGGTAATTGAGCGTGGCAGGATTGTGTGGCTGATGGTCTAGCAGTGCCCGCAGGGCTGTCTACTTCGCTCCACCGCTCATCCATGCCTTGACTACTCCTCCACTGCCAATGATAGCACCTGCACCATTGGACAGCGGTAGTAGTAATGTGGTATGGGGCGGCTATAGGCTTTCACTGGAATGAATTGGGGAAAATGTGTGTATGTATGTAGTGCAGTAAGTGATGAGTGGAGAGTGTGTTGTGGTGTGTGTGTGTGATGGAGGAGTGTGCGCTCGACATGTCCGCAACAATAATCCCAAATACCCTGTGCACCAGTATGTGTACATGCGTCGTCTATACGTTCTTTGTGGAATTGGCGAGTAACGAACGGAACACTAGAAATTACCCTCCCGTTGGCATTTCACAAGTACAAGTTATGCATACGTAGCAGTATAAGACACCTGTATGTTGGAGTAGAGCAGGAGCTGCGAAAGGAGGTATTGTGTTTGTATGCCACTGTTTCTGACTGGGGGTTCCCAGGGCTTCCTATTAGTTCTGCTGAACTGAGGAAAAGTGGCGTCGTTAGTTTCATGCTGTGGCAGCAGAAATCAAAGGGTTTCCGGGAGTAGCTCCCCCTGGTGTCCGTGAGCAGTCAGCTAGGTGGTTAGTCGGTTGGTCCTTGATCTCTTGCCCTGCCAACTGCCAATGCTAGTACTATGGAGTATATGGTACACCACCCAGCCCGTTAGTGCGTGTCGACGTAATTGACATACAGTTCCACCTGCGTTTGCTTTTGAGCTGCAAATCCTATTCTCACGGGCGACGAGCTCTTACTGGTTGTTACCTCACCGTCTCTTTCCTGGTCTGTGACACGGGAGTTCATTATTTATTATCCCTCTACTCAAATGAAAAGTGGTCTGTGCGGGAAGAGGGGTGCGTCGACGGAGTAGTAATGCGTGTGTGTCGACGTGCTTCAGACATGGAGCTGGGAGATGCCTGGAGGAGGCACATTTCTCCCGTCTATCTAATTAGTCTCCTTTGTCTCTCTTGCAGCTGCACTTTCCGTCCCTCTGCTCACACACACACACATGCACGCATGCCACTGTTCCCATTCCAGACCTTGTACACCTTGACACGCGTGTGGAGGTGGTCGCAGTTTTGAACCGACGGAGGGAGGGTTTTTTCACGTCGAAACTCGCAAAGAATTTCTTGTCATTCCACCGCATTTGTGATCCCACGGCAATGGAATGGCGTGTTGTATACGCTACGTGCCCCTCACTATACCGACGCTGCCCACGGGTGCTCGTGGTTGCTGTGTGTGGCCCCATGTATGAAAAACGGACATGTGGAAATGTGTTTTCACGAACTCTTTGGCAGTTGGTTCGTGTGTTCATCCCCATGGCAGCAGGCCATGTGTGTAGTGATGCAGCAAGCATTGTTCTCTTGTTGTTCTGATTCTTGCTCCAGCCCTTTTCCTGTACATGCAGCTGTGTTTTTTTAATTTGCCAGCCAGAGGAATGTCGAACATCCACTGCCATTATGATATTGGAGATAAGGAGCTGTTTTGGGGGAATTAGGGGACTTGTATGCTTATCGAATGAATGAACGGTGTCGTTAGTGGAAACCACCATCAAGATTCCCATAGCTAATCAACAATCTTTAGATTCAGGGGCAAACCTTCATTTTCAACCATCAAGTAAAATGTTTCATCTGATAGTCAGTATGAGAGAGCCCTGTCTTGAGTTAGCAGGGCGTTTGAAGGAAAATTGCCTGACGCTGTGCGATTTCCATATCTTATATCAGACACTATTCGAAGCAGTTTAAATCAAGTAAGTAGTTCAAGGGTCAAACAGCTGTGATTTCTCTAGCTCCATAGTGAGCCACATTCACTACTACACTGTTTGTTGATGAGCAGTTGTACTAGATAGCTTCAGGTACATACGCCAGTGTCTCCTTACATACTGCCAGTGTCTCCGTGGTATCTGTCTACTGTTACCCAACGATAGTGTCGAAGTCTTTGAAGTGCCCTGGGGACCATCTGACTGTTATGGATGGAATGCAATCATCGCTGTGTTTGTTATTTCAATTTTAACTCTTATTGGTTTTTGATTCCGCTGTTCTTCCCACTTCCCCTCACATAGTGTTGCCGGTATGGACGTATTGTTAGCTTATCAGTTGGCCCTCAGATTAGGTCACAGTTTTACTATTCTTGCAGTGTCAACATATAACAAAGAGGATTTAATAATATACAGTGCAGTCGAAATCTAGGGGATTCTGGCAGTGTACATGAGATTTCTGCCTATTATAAAGAGGGGTTAAAAAGTGGTAGTGCACTAAGTGACATCACACCATTGACGTAGTTCATGGAGCTCTAATGATCACTTTTCTCTCTTCTTTCGTTATTCTCCTCCCACCTCTCTCCATCTCCTTCCTCATCTCCCACCCTCCCACCTCTCTCCCACCTCTCTCCATCTCCTTCCTATCATCTCTCACCCTCCCCCCTCTCCAACCCCCGCAGGGGTGGGGTAGGAGCACCGGTGGTCGGCGAAGTTGCCGGGGAATACAAGTTTGATTCCAAGAAGCATATCTTGGAATGGCGCCTGCCTGTCATTGATTCCTCCAACAGCACAGGAATGATGGAGTTCACCATCCCCGGAATGGAGTCTGATTTCTTCCCCATTCGAGTCGAGTTTGTGTCCCCAAAGACCTATTCCCACATTGAGGTAAGACACAACCGCTCTGCACGTATTTCATATTATCTGCACATACATATTATTAGTTATGCCTCTGTGCACATATTATTATGTACGTAACTGCGGCATATGGTAGTGTGTTGGCATAACTGTGTTTTTGTCTGTTACCGGGGATATCTACCGTGCTGCTTTTTTCAATATAAAACACTTAAATGATGTCACATACACTAAACCAATTTTCCTTTGTAGCTTGGAAAATCTTGCTGAATATAAAAAATTTTGCATTGCAACAAAATGGCTCCATGCTAACATTATTGTCATGGTATGTGAACTTAATAAACAAATTAGGTATGCTAGACGATAATCTCTAGTGACACAAAAAGCTAACCTCAATACATATCGACGATATCATGTACAGCACGGTTGACACTCGGTGCAGTGTAGAAGGGTACATCACCTAACATTATTATAATGTCAGTTGACCTTGTAGCTAGCTAGCTATATTATACGCTACCTGTTCCCGGCCTAAGCCCTGGGCTAGCCAGGTAGAGAGACACGCCCTGCTTTGACATACCAGAAAACACAGCATTCCTTTGGTATGAATACGCCATAGTGACTGGGCGAGCGGTGCGATTCGGCTGGGGGATTCGGTAGCGTCCGTCGGTGGTCAGCAGTATAATAATATACGTCAAATTCCGCGTACAAACGCCACAAAAAACGGGCTCGTCTTTGACTCGTTATGGACACTACTACTGGCTTATCTGCTATACATATGCCCCCAGATCCTTACGTGTCCCCAGCCAGAACCCTCCGCTCATTTTTTTCCTCTGTTATTCGACGGAGGTGACCAAGCAATCGTTTGTGTCTTGTCGCAAGTCACTACGGTAGGTCGTGGAACTCTTCCATGGTGCGGCTAACTTTGCAGCGTGTGAGCAGCATGCGCCGAGCAGGAGCCTCGTTCCCAGGCTGTATTGCACCACGTACAGAGCGGTAGCCAAAAGCAAATTAGAACTGCATGCTCTTTCTATATTATTATTGGCGAGCGGGAGCGAGCCGTTCGTTCGAGCGGAATTTTCGGCGTCGTTGGTACGTCGTGTAAGTGCGCATGCGCGGCTTCTTACGCGCTTCTTTTTATCCGAAATCATTTTCACAACATTTCACACACACACGCTGCCATATGCGCCGATCTGCCAGAGAATTCTCCTCCATTCGACGGCATGCGATGCAACCTTCGGTGACTGACCGAGGCTGTACCTCTTCCCAATTTTCATGGTTCGAAGGTGCAACTTCAAAGTAAGCTAGGATTGCTCGTGCTGCATGCCACCTGCCACGACTCTGAAGGTAAGTATACCGTTCTGCTCACCTGCTCACCGTTCTGCCAATGTACAGTAACGGCGACAGGTAGATCTGTCTTGCTTCACGAAAGGAGACGGCACGTTATGCAGCCCGAAAATCGCGGGCAAATCCCAAGTTGGGTCGCTCCCGCTCGCCAACAATGTTCAACATTTCCACTAGTTGGCGAGCGGGAGCGAGCCAACCTAGTCGTTCGTTCGAGCGTACGTCGTGTAAGTGCGCATGCGCGGCTTTGTACGCGCTTCTTTTTATCCGAAATTATTTTCTAATTTTTACACATTTTCACAGACGGTGCCTCGCGATATGGGCCAATCGATCTAACCAGCGAGAGAACTCTCCTCATGCCGTTCTGCTCACCTGCTCACCGTTCTGTCGATGTACAATACGCATGCAACGGCGACAGGTAGATCTGTCTTGCTTCACGAAAGGAAAGCTGTGTGCTGCTGACGGCACGTTATGCAGCCCGAACATCGCGGGCAAATCCCAGTTGGGTCGCTCCCGCTCGCCAACAATGTTTAACATTTCCACTAGTATACGACCGACCGTCGTCGGTCGTCGTACGTCGTGTAAGTGCGCATGCGCGACTTCGTTACATACGCACGTGTGTTTATAGTAGTCTGACAATGTGGCGCAACCAGTGGATCGTCACCCCAAAATCAGTTACCAGAGGATGCCCTTCGTTCGAAGAGAGAGAGGGAAGGACGAGCAAGGGCGTCGTACCCGTGTGAGACTCCTGAGCAGGAGAGAGGCTCGGCTTTCTCAACAAAGAGAAGCGTCGCACGCCCGTGAGACTACTGAGCAGAGAGAGGCTCGGCTGCCACGGAGTGCCCGTGATAGGGAACGGGCACGGGGAACGCTCGCCGCGAAACAGCGGACGGACAAAGAAGGGAAGCACGACTAGCGAGTCGTGCGTGTACAAGACTAGAGCTAGAAGCGCTGCAGAATCAGGGGAAACGAACAGGTCAGGCTCACACAGTTCCGAAGAACTACCAGGGCACAAGACGAATTGCTGCCGAGTCCAGCGGGGTGAGAGAGGCCGCCTGCAACAGGTACGCAGGAATCAAGAGCAGAGAATTGCATGCTGCGTACGGCGAGGAGATAGGACGAGAGAGGCCCGCCTACAGCTGATACGACTTACCACAACAACGGATTGCTCTCAGGAGCACTCCACAAGAGACTGAAGCAAGCACGCAGCTGGGCACGACAAAAGGCACGCAGCAGCCACGCTTCAACCCAACGCAACGGCACCAGCCAAGACAAGTCCAAACTTTTTGAAAGTGACTGAATGCGAAACACACGATACAAACCAGTTTCGTGGTTATAGGTGTATGGCTGGCCAGGTGAGGAGTACTTGGTGCGCGAGCGAGCGCGAGCGAGCAACATAGTCGTCGCAACGGGCCGATTTTTCATCTTATGATACGTCGTGTAAGTGCGCATGCGCGGTTTCTCTTTGAATCGTTGTGTATCCGAAAACTATTTTCCTCATACATTTTCACACGCGGTGCATAGCCGCTCGATTTGCGGATCAATGGACCAACGCGCAACGACGTCACGGAAGCCGCACAAGGGACCGCGCAGGCCCACACACAAAGTCACGACGCCATAGGCCACGCCCCAAACCATGCTCACGCACAAAAACTGCGCGCGCTACACTGAACTCTTGCAATCCACAGGCTATTTTTCGAAAAACGCGTCCATGGGAAGCCTAGCAGCACCAGAATAGACACTAGTACGGCGGGTTTGCAGCTCCTCGCACTTCACGAGATCGCCTGCATCAGCAGATCGCTTGGTCCAGACCAAGGGCACACTTAGAATGGCCTGACTTCCTCGAAACAGCAGGCATAACACGATTGTTGTTTGTTGTTTCTGTAGAGGCAAATGGCCTGTTCAATCAGGCCCTGGGTCTGGAACCAAGCGATCTGCGATCAGGCGAGCTCGTGATGAAAGGGAGAGAAAGGGAAGCTGCAAACCCGCCGTAAGTAACCGTAATAAAGCGTATTTCAAAGTGTCTCATATCTGGTGCTGCTGCTTGCTAGGCTTCATTGGACCGTTCGTTTTTCGAAATAGACCTGGGATGTGCAAAAGTTTCAGTGTTAGCAGCCTCTCCCGGTATTGTTGAGTGGGCAACTGGTGTGCGTTGGGACATAGGCGCGTGGCGGTGCGCGGTCACTTGTGCGGCGTCCGGACAGTCGTAGCGCGCTGGGTCCGTTTTCTCTCACTTGCTCCCACCACGAGATGATCCTGGTCGTGCGAGCGGCGTCATGGCACAGCGGACACGATGCCGACACCTCGCGCATGCCCACAGTCCTTCGCCCCGCCTTGCCATAATATGGTCGCGTGTGTTAACATCGTTAACTAAACTCCAGTAAAAATCATTATATTGATTCTCAGCTATAAACGTGGATAGCTACTGTAAGTTGCATAATAATTATAATAGAGAGCTATAGTGCGCACACACGTCGTGGGGATCCTTGGAAAAGAGGTGTGTCAGTTATGATCCGAAGGTCAATGACCGCACACCCACATCTTAGAAAGACCGAACGAAGAAATGTAAATAAATTCTCGCCTAACAGCAGTAGACGAATATACAGTTTTGAAGTGTGAGGAAGGCAAAAACCGTGGTTTATTGTCACCTTGTTTCTTGATAGTCAGCAAGGCTGGGTGTTTGGGATGGTAGTTTGACTGCATATCGAACACACACAAGGAAGGCGTGAGAGAAAAGTTACGCATCGCTATGAAGTAGATTTGGTAGGTTTATCCATACGGTTCCCTTTGCGGGAATGTGTGAGCAGTCAAACTGTGGGATATAATTAGACCCTTACACAATGACTGTCGAATATTGAGTAAGAAAGAATCACTCTAACGGTTGTGTGAAGGGCGAAACGTAACCGAAAAACATCATCGGTCGTCGTCAAAAAATAAAATAACTCAAAACATAGGTAGCCATATGGTCCCATAATAATATAATGCATTCTTCATGTTGTTTCCTGACGGTGTCTTCTCCCTTTTGTACGTTACTGAGCAGAGTCATTGCGTCTCCTGTGGTCGGTTTGAGTAAGTAAAAACGGTGGCGCTGACAAGTGCCTGATTAGGCAATCCGGGGTTACTTCGTGTGTAGTGTGTCGGATACTCTGCATCGTAATGGGTTGTGGGTCTTGACCGATGGATCGGTGGGAAGTTACCCATAGGTGCGTGCTGGAACAGGGCAGACGGCCTGCTGGGGGGGAAGGGAGGAATATGGGTGCGGAGAACCGGCCGAAAGCAAGGAGGGGGGAAGGAAGTAAGTAGGACAGGTCGGCTCAAGGAAGTCAACATGTGTGGGTCACGGTGAAAGGGTTAGGAGTTAAAGGTAGTGCTCCATCGGGCAGGGCTCAGTGCTAGTAGTAGAGTCACTAGCAGCGAGCCTGAAGAAATGCCTAGGGCCTTGCATTTTTTTTTTATTTGAGGGAGGGGGGGGGGGGAAAGCGACGGGGGGGGAGGAAAGGGCGGGAGGGGGGTGGGGGGGGGGCGGGGAGCGAGGAAGGGGGAGGGGCGGGGAGAGAGGGGGGGGGGAGGGGCGGGAGCGGGGGCTGGTGGTGTAGCCACAGGGGCAGGAGGCGGGGGCGGGGGCGGGTTCTTTGGGCGTGGAGGGAGGGCAGGGGACCGGGGGCTGCGGAAGGTGGGGAAGTAAAAGGACA